GAACTGCAGAACTGCAGTCAACTGAAGTAGCCTGCAGTGCTGCACTCTACCCACTGCGCCACCTCGGCTCTTGCTTCCTTTTGCCATTTCTGACCACCAGAAGCTGAGTCTCTTCCGTAAGAGATGCCGGCTGAGGATGATGGTGATTGGAGTCCAGTACATCTGGAAGTGAAGCGTGCTTTGAAAGGTGCAACCTCTCATCTCCCTTTTCTCTTCCCACAGGCTATCCTGATTTGGTCCCTGATCGATTTTAAACCTCCCGAGTACGCCAAGGAAAAGTACCCGCTGTGGGGCACAGCCATGGGCTGGTGCCTGATCACTTTCTGTCTCATTTGGATCCCAGCGGTGGCCATTTACAAGATCATCAAGGCCAAAGGCAACCTCTGGCAGGTAAGTACTGTTGGGGTGGTGAGAAGGGGAGGCTGGTGGCAGGTAGCAGAAGGACCCTGGAGAGAAGCAAAGCTTGGGAATCCCACCTCCTCCTCCTCTTCCTCCTTCCAGAGATTCGTCTCCTGCCTCAAGCCAAAACCCAACTGGGGGCCTGCTCTGGAGTGTCACCGGGGAGAGAGATACAAGGATATGGTGGACCCGGTCAAGAAACAGGACATCGAGATCCCCACCGTGGACAGCTACGTCCACAAGGTGGAGTAAAGAGAGGGGTGGAGGTGCTGCTTCAGGCCAAGGGTCCCGCTTACACCCAGCGAAATCCAGGGAGACCGTGGAATGGATGCCAAAGACTTTGGACCATCTGCCAAAGAGCCACAGCTGTGGGGGGGCTCTGCTGCTAAGACAGGCCAGGCGGGGCAGCCTTCTAACTCAGGACCATGCTCTAGAGGTAGGGGGTTGGGACCCCTGCCCCGCCAGGCCCTTTCTATAAAGAGCCAGCAAAATAATCTCTCACCCCCAACCCCCACAAACCCCAAAGTCTCCTCTGGCAAGGCGGAGTGCCCTCCCTTGCAGGGGTGTGGTGATGAAGAACACACTTCCGTGATCCGGTGAGCATCTCCGGAGCCATCTCAGCGTCCGATCCTTTGCACACTTTGTTGGATGTGGGAAGCCTGTCCTGATTCGCGGAGACTTACTTGTGTGTGTCAATGGGACGAGGACTATCGCACAACACTCCGGACGCGCATCTACACATATTTGTTCTGACCCTCTCCTCTGTCCAGTAACGAATGCCGAGACAAGCTTAACTGGAATGTACTTTATTAACAAGAAACCAAAACCTCAGTGGCTGAAACCCAAGCATAACAAACAGATAAGGACCTTGGCAGCAACTCCGACAAGCCTTGGCAGCAATCCAGCCTACCAAACTAGTTACCAAAATTCTCCAACTTTTAGTCAATGCGTTGACTTCTGCAAAAGGGGCATGTGCACAAGCAGTCCTTTTTATAGTCTGGAGAG